GGAGCCAGCATTTGTATCATCTGATAATAAGCTATAAAAACTTGAATTAGACAAAAGCAGCCCTGGATGTTAATTGCTCTGCCGTAGCAACGCAGCTATTTATCAATAGCTGCTTATGAGCACAGCTTTCAGTTTAACTCAGACTGCAGCTAATTGCCCCCTGTCTAATTGATATTACAAAACAAGAACAGCTTGGGATGGGAGGGCAAAACAGAAACCAACACGATGGTTTGCATATGTAATCAGAGGCTGCAAGCAGAACAAGAGGCGCCTTTCGCAACTCAAGGCACTGCAGGCATCAAAGGCTGGAGGTGGATGCAAAACACGACAGAGACCCCCCCCCCTTGGGCATTCATGCCCTTTAAACACTGTGCATGAGTGGAAGTGACTTTTGGAAAAATGCAGCTTCTCATCATGACATAGTGTCTTAAGGACCGAGAAAAGCTGCATGTGTGAAAATGCCCTCTTCTGCATGACATGTTGAAGGTGCAGGAGAGCTGGTCGCCCTACAAAGGATTCTCTGCTCCCTCAAGGCTGTGTATGACAGTGCTTGAATTATAGTGGGGCTGAAGAGGCCTGCTCCGTCTTAGCTACTGGTTTCAGATGGTTGAGGAGGCTATCATGATTTGACCAAAATGGAAGGAGGTGTAGGCATTTTGGGTTTCACTAAGACCTCCTTCTGACCTTTCTGCCCCCCTGAATTAAGCACTGGCTTACCCTGATGGAAATCAACCATTGTGGCAGCTGAGTAAAAGGAAGAGGATCCACATCAGCTCAATGTGGTCCCTGGCTAGACCTGGCGCTTTCCAGGTGTTTCGGACTGCAACCTCCCATCTGCCCCAGCCAGCACAGGATGATGAAGGCTGCTCAGAGAGATCCCTAGCATGCCTGGGGTGCTGGGAGGTTTTTAACATGATGATCACTTATCCAAGCTGGATGAGTAACTGCAGCTGATCATTCTTAATCAAATTCTGTACCCACCTCACAGCCCAGACTCCTCTTCTTAGCTTCTCTGTGTCCTCAGGTCTCCAGTGCACAAGGAGTTACTTGTCTTACCACCACCCCATCCATTTCCCCCCTTTCTTATCTGTCCCCACAATCTACTTCTATGCCTCACTGGGCATGTCACACGTCCCTGGTAGCACATTTGAGAAACCGAGATAGCCCTGGTGTCAGCCAGAACAACAATTAATAATAATAAATAATAACCGCAATAATTAACCAGGCCCTGCATGCACACATTTTGGGTTTGCACTGAAAATCTTAATTCATGCTGTAATTAATAGCTCGTGCCCATCCAGCAGCTAAGCCGAGCCTGCTTGGATAAGAGCATGGCACGGTAATTAATATCGTACAGTGTACACTCCTAATTGCAGGCCTACAGGCAGAGAGTACAATTTGTACACTGTATGATACACATTTACCAGCCATAAAACTCTTATGAAGCTGGATTATTTGACTGTCTGTTCTCAGCTCTCAAGAATGTAAGAGACAGCCAGGAGGCGGAGAGGGGTGTTGTGGTGGATTGAACACAGCATTGTATTGGTGAAAACATGCAATCAACCATGTTTGCACAATACACATGGAAAATAAACATACACATTGAATATGGTGGGGTGTTGCAGGCAGAAAACACAAATATTGTGCAAACAGGGCTTGCTGGGTGTTTTATGTAAGAACAGCAGTAACAACAATTGTTTATTAATTTAGGGAATTTATACCTCAGTCTTCATATGATGATAGTCAAGTGGCCAATATAATAGTTAAATGCTAAACACAATTTTTGGGAATAATTTTCTAATAAAGTGATCAAGTGAGGTGCTAAGCAGACCCAAGCGGTAAATGTACGAAAGATACAGAGAACCCACTTGGTGCAGAGATTTGGGGGCATCATGATTCATCCGTATGGGAGATTCCTCTGAATTCAGTCATAATGGAGCAAGAGAAATTTCACAATGGGATGGTTCACTACTGCCCCAGCTCCTCACTTCCATGAAAACATTTCTGCTGCATCTCTCCACACACAAAAGCTTTTATGTGCTTGCCAATAGATAAAAATTAGTGAGGCAGCTGCTCAGCACATGAAGCCTTGCATCATTAGAGAGTCTTTTAAATCTTTTCATTTAATGCGAGGATAAACACAATAGATGGTGGATTTATTATTATTATTTTGCCTCTTGTTTCCGTGGAGAGCTCCCAAGTTCAATGAATCACAATATGGATCAGTTCCAAGGCCCAGGAAAAGAGAGCGCTCAGGGCCCCTTGGCAAGTGCATAGCAATGACCCTATCACCGCCACTTGCTCTCACATGATCTCTCCTTCCTTTGCTGTTTCACCCCAGAGCCTATTAAACTGACCCTAGTTGGCTTCTGATGAGGTGGTGCGAGAAAGAGATGGGGGGGGGAGAGGCAAGGGTCTGGGAAGAGAGAGTTTTGGTTTTATCAAAAACACTTAGCTGCTGTCTCCTTTTAGCAGCACAGGGTGTCACAGGCTGCAACCTGGCTTGTGAAACATGTATCTGAGTCTAATTAAGATGCCAGGTAAGCTAACCGGATAGTTTGAAAACAGCCCATTGTTTTCTAAGTTCTGGAAGATTAAGGGGGACGTGGGAAAGGGTTTAGAGATTCAGGCAAATGAAGTAAAGTCCCTGCCAAAGAAGGCGGCAGACTAATAAGGTCATTCATTTCATGTGAGGCAGCGAGCAGAAGGGGCAAGAAAGGTGCAGGTTCGACAAAGGGACTTGCGAAAGCTCTTGAGATCACATAGTAGTCAAAGGCAGCCACTGACAGGCATCTTGTCAATCAACACTTAGCTGCTGCTGCTGCTTACTTGCTGCTCCTGTCCTGGGCACTTATATAATAATCCCAGTCTTATCCCTGGCGGTAGTGAACAGTACATTAATAGCCTCTTCCGTTTCTGAAATCGAGTAGTAAGGAGGAACCATTTCACCAAATCTTTACAGGCAGAAGAGAAATTCTCCACCCGCTTCCCAAGGTGGCCTCACTATCAGTAGCAGCACAGCATCTATTTTCCTTTTACCCCTAAGGGCTTTTCTTTTTGTTGCCATTACCCGCGTTTTGAATAGTGGCAGTGGCAGCAACAGCCTGAGCGCAGTTTGCATTCGCTGCGATGGAGCACTGAAGGAGAAATTGTGCCCACTCACCCACCCCAAAAACTGATGGAAATTTTCGGGGGAGGGGAGGAGTATGGTCAGCCTTTTCCCTTGTTTTATAACCTATTTTTAAAATTGGTTTTACAGTTATAGTAGTAACAACATTCATCCTAAAATGCAACAACATGGAAATAAGTGGCGAAGAAATTTATCCGTTACAGCACCTTTGGCTGGGGGGGAGGGTGAGAAAAAGGAAAAGAATCAAATTCTCTCAGAAAAATTCCCTCTAAGAAAGTTTGGCTCAGCTACATAGTCCATGGACACTACACATGTCCATTTCGTTCTGTGTAGAGCTGTAGACATTCTCTGCCTTCACAGTGTAAAGGTGGGAAAACCCTCACTCCTATTATTCACAGGTTGCTGAAACAGAACTGACATGTTGGAAGAGGATTTGGGTATGGTGTGTGTGGCACAGGAATGCAGTACCCTGCTTTACTATGTCAGAACATAGTAAGTCAGAACATTGGTCGGTCTAGCTCAGCATGGTCTATAGTGACTGGTCCTTGGTGTTATCACGTAAGAGTCTTTCCTATGCCTATCTGGTGATGCTGAGAATTGGGACCTTTCGCATGCAAATCAGTTGTTCTTTCACTGATCTTTATTACCAATGTAATATTGATCTGATAAGAACTTGACTGCCGTGAGTGGCTAGGGAAACCCAGCCAGATGGGTGGGGTATAAAAAAATAAAATTATTATTATTCCTAGAACAGGTCAAGGTCCACCTGAGCTAGCTAGCATTCTGTTTCCAACAGCAACCAGATGGGTGGTTCTGAGAAGCTCACAAACAGTGCAACGAAAGCGATGGTGGCCAACCTTTCTTATTCATCCCCAGCATCTGGACTTCAAAGTTCTACTACCTTTGGTCATGGAGACCTCATTTATGTCCAATGCAAACTGCATGGAGATTTTGACAATTAAACCGTACATGCGCCATAAAAATGAAATAAATAAAATCTAGCTATCGTGGCCAATCATCGCCTTTGAGAGACATACCCTCCCAGGACTGAAGGGTTGAGTTTATTTATATGTCATTGCCTTTACACAGTGAGCTGTGGCAAAACTGGCATACAACAAATCTCCACTTATCATCAAAATACAGAACACCGGGTTGGGGGTGGGTGGGAGAAAAACAAATTTACAGAATGCATCAGTAAATTCACACAGGATATAAACCAATGATTTAGCAAACAAAAATAAATTCACTATCACAAAAGGAAAAAAAGAGTCTGGACTTGAATACATAAATGCAGAGCAAAAAAGGAAGCTGCTGGTCTTTTTGCACTCAGCAGCCAGGCTGAAATATTGCCCACAACTGAAGAGGCCTTCTCCAGCCAGTGGCCATAACCAAAGCATCCTCTATGACAGTCCCTCCCTTCTCCCAACATCAGTGAGATTATTAAGTCAAATAAACAAGTTAAAATTCTTTGTTCGGAACCCCACACAGCTTTCTCGTCTTTTTCTTCCAGTTAAGTCAAACAATTGTTTAAAAATTCCTTCTGTGTGCGGCAATTAAGACAAACATCACCTTAGGCCCTATAAAAATGCGGAGGTACTTTATGGCATGGTTGTTAGCAGACACAAATTAGTTCTAAATTATGTCTACTTGCAAGCCTGCTGCTTTTTTTTGTTTTAACACTTATTGCAATTAAGATTACAAACGAGGGCTGCTGATTCACAGAGCAAGAGCCACACTGGATGAACAGAAGAAACCGTGTATTCTGGCTGCAGGTCGGGGGAAGACGACATGTCCGAATGCTTCTCCACATAAGCTCCTTGTCCTGGGGCTTTACCATTTGCAAAAGGAGTAGACAGGGATGGGAGTGAGATCAGGCACAGGTCAGGTAATGTGATGACAGTGACATCAGGGTGGTTCCTGAAAGAAACGGGACTTCAGGGAGGTCTTGAAAGAGGCAGCCTATTCAACACAATGAAGGAAATTGACGTAGGCTTAGGAAGCAGGAGAGCAAAAAGGCACCGAGACGGAAGCAGGAGAAAGGGGCAGACAATCTGCCATGAGGCAGAGAGAGAAAAGGAAGGAGCACCTGTGGTCAAGGATAGTCAGAAATTTGAAACTGGAGAAACAGAACCCTGAAGCTGGTGTGATGTGAGAAAATGGCGAGGACTTTAAGAGAAAGTTGATTATTCAAGCAGTGGGAGAGATGAAGGATTTTACAGGGGTATACAAAACTGAAGAAGTCTACAGCCATGCAGATTTTCTCTCTTCTAATGCCTGTCAACTGAGATGCTAGTATCAAAATGTACTCACTTCTCTCTTCGTTTTGCTAAAAATGACAAAAGAATCACAGCATAGCAAAAAACACCTTGTTTTTGGAGGGGGCGGGATATATCCCATAGGCTGCCATGGGCAAACTATTATAATTCCCGAAATATTATTTCTCTGTGCATGTCAAAAGAATGAAGCAGCTTTCCCGATCTCCCCCCCCCCCCACCTCTGCCCTGCGCATCTTCGCAAATATGCCCACATCAATATGAGGCCACAAACTCCTGGCAGCTCTGCCCAATTCTTTCCTCCCACAACATTGCTAAATGAGTCACAGCTGGGAGAAATGACTGACATTTCACTTTGAAGGATTTGTTCCTTCGTTGGCAAAGGAGGTCAGACTCACAGCAAAATTGGGGGGGGGGGGGAGAAGAGAGACTTGGTACCCTTGTTGCCAGGGAAACTGAAATACTAATGAAGCTGCTAGCCTTCCCCCTAAGCAGGAAAGGATGGGAGAGTGCCCAAAATACACAATTCATATTACTTCATATTGGTTTCCCTGCTCTTTCTTCCTTTCTTATGGAGCTAAACTTGAAGGACTAGCTATCTTCTTTATGGGAGGGGGATTAGACCTGCCATTCTCTCCCAATCAGCACAATTAGAATTCTAGCTAATGAACCATCCGTTTAATATTTTGGATTCGGGAGGGGGAGTACATCTGGGAAAGGGAAATTCACTTCTCTTCCTTAGCCTTCCATGAAACAGCCGCTTCAGTCATCCCTTTTCACAGCAGTTCCTTTACCCCTCCCCTTCTTTTTCAGATTTTAAAAATATATTGCCGGCCTCACCTCTCAGACAATGTAACATGCATGGCTGGGGGTGGGGGAGCAACCATCCTAGGCAACGCAAAAGGTGAAAAGCCTAGTTGATTTCTGGATCTTGGACATGTTGTGAGTAGGACTAAGGGATGGGACCCACGGGGGTGGTTTTGTCTAGCAAAATGCCTACCTACAGTGCAATTTTTCTTGGAAGAGGTGCCAGAACTCACCATGAATGCCTCCCTTGTTCTTTTATAATGGCAATGGCGCCCAACGGAGAGGTGTCCATGGACATGTTGAATGGGGTATTTGGGGGGGGCAAATGTGTGTATGCAACCCCCTGCAGCGTCTGTGCTAGTGAGAGCTGGGCACTCACTGTTTGCTACTGGTGGTGGGATGCAAGTGCAGCATTTAACTGATATCCACACATGTACTTATATGGGGGTGGGAATGCATCACTGAGTGCCAAGAATGCCCATAAATGTTGCAGTGATGCTGAAGGTATAGGAAAGACCTGCTTCTGGCAGCTGGTCAGATTATAACCCATTAGATTCCTTAGACTGATACAGTTCTTGTCTACATGTTGACAGAAGCGCCTCCCCTATCGTAAGACAGAGTGAAATAGCTTCCTAAGTTGCAAATGATGGGAATTTAAAAATATCTGCAAATATTTTACTTATTTCTTTACTTGGTTTATTACTGGGGTGGCGGGGAGGGGGCGCGCGACCAAAGACACAGTGCCTATGCGTCTTCGGCAAACTCTTCTTTGAAACAGGAAAGGGCTTCAATAAATCAGATGGAGTGAGATCTCTAGATATTCTTTTCAGCTTCCTATTGTGTTGGTTAAGTGAGGCGGGAGTAACTTTCTGATTCTGTTCTATTCTACGGCAGATTGTCATGGACTTGATCTGGCCTTGCCTATAAAAGGCCCCAATTGCCATGGAAGAAGCAGCAGTAGAAGAATCCAACTCTGTGATCCTATAAATGCTGGTGTCCTTGGTCTCACTAAGAATTAAAAACCGTATGCTTAAAATCCAATAAATTGGGTGGCATTTATCTCCCTTTCCCAAGATGCCTCCCCAAGGGCCAGTGCTGTTGACTGGGTTACAGTGGCTTCTTGATGGCCTTATCCTACCCCATCTCAGCATTTTTCCTCTCCGGCTGTCTCTCCTCATAGCTCTACAGAGACAGTCTGTGGCAAATCTCTTCGCTCCCCCTCTAACTTTGAAGGGCAAAGAGATGCACAATTCCATTTCTGCCTGCAGCGTGCTTCAGGCGACCACAAGGTCGTGTCAGCGTGTCCTTTTTCATTTTCCAAATGGGATAGGAATATATAGCCAGCTCCTTAAACGGATTAGATTGGAGACTCTGATGGACTGCCCAATTCAGCAGCTTCTTCCTCTCTCCTAGTCCGATATAAACAGCTAGCCAAAGCAAACAAATGCCACTGAGAAATGGGATCAAGTAGTTGGCGCTTTGGGATCTTGGTTTGGAGCAGGGCGGGGGCTGCACATTGTCTCTACACCAGAGTGATTTTGCCAACTTCTCCCACTGTGCTGGGGCTTCACAAGACACCTGAGCAGCATATCTGAATGAAGATTTCCCCCTCTTCTCATCTGCATATAGCTTGTGGCCATAGTGGAAGCATCTCGGTAAACACTGTACAGTTTCTGACTGGCAAAAGCGTGCAGCAGCCCACTGACACAGTCGACTTCACTGAGTGCATATGGCCAGTCAGAAGCTACACACCTGCACAGTACTGACCCAGGTGCCCTTCTGTCCCAGGACACCTGGAAGGAAGGGCACAGTGCCCACTTCCCCTAGCCTGGGACCGGGATGCTTTAAATGTGTGGTGTGTATGCAGTCAAGTCTCTTGGCCTTGACCCAATTGTCTTTTGCTCCTCACTTTTCTAAAATAATTTATATGCCATATTATGGCCTTCAAAAGGAAGCCCCTAATGGTTCATGCCAAAACAACAAAAACGTTACATCTATCTATCTGTGCATGCAATAAAACCAAGATCTTGCTCAGGGAAGTCTCTAATATCTTGCACTGAGTTTGGGATGTCTGAAATCACTTAGTGGTTTGTAACCAAACTGAAACACAGTAGAATGATGCCAAATGCTTTCTTTTTTGATTATAAGGATACCATGCAATAAAAAACCCAAATAGCTAGGAGAAATATGTTGAAGAAGGGGAGTCCAATAAAAGCTCTGCTTCAGTTTTACATGTTTCATGGGCATAGCCCAAAGTACTGAAATACTTTGGAAGAAAACACACACACGTATAATCAAGCTAATCATGTGGTTGATCTCTATGGAAAACTGGATGCTGGGTATGGTCTGATGTATTAGGATTCTTTCATTTTTTTAAAAGGTATAAATTATTCTTTTAAATATCTATCTCAACATTTTATAGTACTCTGCAATACCATAATGCTTCTTCTTTTGTTTACAAAATGTTAAGTTTCCCTTCATTTGATTTCTGTTTCTGAGCATCTTTGGTGATAGACTGATCTATTAATTGGCTGATATATCATGGGGGCGGGGGGGGAGATTGAAGCCAGAAACTATATCAAAAAAACCCCAGACTTTCAAGTTAGCGATGGAATTCTATAAAACAGCTACAAATCTAGCTAGAAATGCAGCTCCTCTTGTTCAAAAGTCTACTGCCTCTCTAAAATTTTATAGGGGGTTCTATGTATGACTGTAAATAAGCTAGAAAATAATGAGCTGTTGTCAAGGTCTATTGTTTAATTTAGCAATTTTCCTAGACAATAAATAATGTGTGGGCCTGCTAAAGCATAACCAGCACTTTGCTGGTAGGCTAAAAAACAAACAGAGATCCATCTCTGTGTTTGTGTTTGCGACTGAGAGAAACGCTAGCGGTTTGGATGCATAATAAGGGCAAGTTAGCCCTGGAGCGCCTGGGAGCCAGGTGGTCCGGGGACCCAGAAGACATGATCCAGTCAGAGTCTGCTTGAAGAAGACAGAAGCCTTCCAGTTACAGGAGGCTTGTCCATCGTCAAAACCACAGGCTATGCAGCACCATGCATTGATCACCTCTTCACATTGCCCCGTTTTCCCGAAATTGCTACAGAAGACAGCTCTTTTCAGAAAGAAGGGAATAAAAGCTTTACTCCAGTTGTACCCCCTAAAAAATTGCAATATTTTTCATGACTGAGCACACTTGTGGGGAGGTTGTGTGCATTTTGAGAGTGGAATAGGGTCATCCTTGGGATGGGCTGCTCAGGTGTGCCATCAGGGCAGGGGTTGGTGAAGAGATCCAGGGCCCACTCAGCAGAATTTGCAGAAAGTCCCAAATGCAGCAAGATTGACTTATGAGGTTCTGATTTACTATCTAAAGAGTCCCCCACTCACCGAAAGAACACAAAGCCCAGAATCTAAAAGCTGCACCTTCCTAACAAGTTTGCATGAGGGTCCTTGGTAATACTGCAGTGAAAAGTCTGAAGGGACAGAGAGGGGCCCTGAAGATGTGCAGGAGCGCATGACTGGACTGCACTGCTCACTTTACCCTCATGCTGCCTCTTCCTGACTCTACGCTGTCAGGAGCCAGCTCTTAGCAGGCCTAGTTATCCGAAAAATTGTTATGTCTCTTCTGCACAGAATAACACACATTTTAAAATGCAATTCCAACCAATTTAAAATACAATCCATCAGCCATTTCAGCTACTACAGCCTCCAGCTAAAACGATCAGGCCCCACGAAACAGACCAGCAACCAGGCTCCCCAAAGGGTAGTCAGAGAACAGAACCGTTTCACAGCCTACGGCAGAGAAGAGAGAAACACCCTCTGACCTCAACAGATAAGTTGTTCTGTAATGGGGATGGGGAACCACAGGCTTGGGTGCCAAATTCCGCCCCTGAAGGAGGGGGAAATGCAGGGTGTGCCTGGTGAGAGGGTGCAGTTTGTTAAGAGTCTGGCTACCCTCTCACCAGGCACACCCTGTATTTTCCTCTCCTTCAGGGGTTTTGCCTGGCTAGATCATGTCTAGAAGGCAAGGCAGCCCTCAGGCTGTTCTATAACCTCGGGGCTGCTGCAGCTAAGGCTCTGCCCCTGGCAGCCAACCTTCACGAAGCGCAGCCACACAGAGGCTGAATTCACAGGGCTGAAGTAGGGAGAGGCAGCTCCTGAAGGCCATGAAGGATGTCAAGGTATGCACAAAATGCCTAGAATTGGACCTAAAAGCATCATTAGGAGGCACGCAGACAGTTTGCATCCCCTGAAGCTTCCGAGTCACTTCCAAGGGCAGCCCCATGCAGAGAGCATTACAGTACTCAATCTTACATAGGTATGGATGCAAGAAGCAACAGCACCTATGCAACATAGTAATAGTAGTAATAGTGCCACTGTATTCTGCTCTGGTCAGACCTCACCTGGAGTACTGTGTCCAGTTCTGGGCACCACAGTTCAAGAAGGACACTGACAAACTGGAACGTGTCCAGAGGAGGGCAACCAAAATGGTCAAAGGCCTGGAAACGATGCCTTATGAGGAACGGCTAAGGGAGCTGGGCATGTTTAGCCTGGAGAAGAGGAGGTTAAGGGGTGATATGATAGCCATGTTCAAATATATAAAAGGATGTCACATAGAGGAGGGAGAAAGGTTGTTTTCTGCTGCTCCAGAGAAGCAGACATGGAGCAATGGATCCAAACTACAAGAAAGAAGATTCCACCTAAACATTAGGAAGAACTTCCTGACAGTAAGAGCTGTTCGACAGTGGAATTTGCTGCCAAGGAGTGTGGTGGAGTCTCCTTCTTTGGAGGTCTTTAAGCAGAGGCTTGACAACCATATGTCAGGAGTGCTCTGATGGTGTTTCCTGCTTGGCAGGGGGTTGGACTCGATGGCCCTTGTGGTCTCTTCCAACTCTATGATTCTATGATTCTATGAACATATATAGTCGGTAAAATGTCAATCCTGGCCACACTGGTCTCCAAACGTGGTACTTCTATGTGAGAGATTTTGCCATGTTTATTATATCCACTACCTATGTTTTCCATGCAGAAAACACATGACAGAGCCTTAAGGGTTTCAGCTGTATTTAGTACACATTCTCTTTGCTGCAGGCTGAAGCTGTACCAAACACCTGCCAATCCACTTCCCTGAAGCTTGACACCCATTGATTACAATGGACTCCTTTGCTTACAGGCTCGGTGCTCTCAAGTGTATTCACTATTTGCCTCATGGTGATTCTGAACAACACCCACCTGCCCCTGTCTGCTGTTGGGAACAGAAGCACACCTAACACCTAGGTCCCTGGGGGAAAGGAGCACTTCCTTCTGCGTCACAAAGTTGCCTCACGAGAACTGGGCCAGAGAATTCGAAGCACATCTGGCCATTTGAGGCCCCCAAGCCCTGCTGTCTGCCATGCAGATCCAGAGCAAACTCTTTGGCACTCCTGTCCCCAGCCGGCCATCCCTCGGTTGCCTTCGATTGGCAGAGCGGCCTGTTAGTGGCATGCTAGCCAGCTGCAGGCTTGCTGTGTTTTCATGCTAAATTCTCCTTAGAGATGTCAGCTGCCACAATGTGTCATTTCTGCTTCACGGAGCTGGCTGGCTTATACAGCCAGGAACAAGTTTCTGCAAAAAAGAGAGAGAGAGAGAGCGTGTGCGTAGCATGACATGATGCCACTTCCTTAACAAAAATGAAAACAGTTGCTAGCAAAATGATAGGTCAACCATGCTGAGATTTCACAGAAGGCTGCCTGGTTGGGAGAAATAATGGAAATTTTTGCCTACCGGTAATGCAACCAAGCTCTTGGTTAGGATGCGGATGTGACACAAAACACACACAGCAGGACTTCAGAATCATGGAAACATCAGGAACACAACTTGTGTGTAGAACCAAAATGGGTTGATAATAGTTGTTAAGGTTCTTCCCATACCACAACCAACCCTTTTAAGTCCCCAGGTCCACAAATGATCTGTCATCTCTTTGTCTCACATGACTTCTGTTCAAGCCAACTCCTTGCACAACCCCCTCACTCACAAAACCCAGGCTCAAAGGTTGCAGAACCTTCCACTGAACGTATTTCTGGCTGAATGGCAGGAGCTGGCCGGGGTTCCTCCCTTCTCCATCCAAGGATGCCAAACTGAATACAAAACTATTTTTCACCCATACAGACCAAGGAAAAATGAAGCCTACTAGGGAATCCACTTGACAGGGCATATAGCAGAATGCCAGTTCTGGTGTTTGAACTGTATTCTTCTGCATGCATGACACCTCCACAGTACGCTTAGTGACAACAATGCAAACATTTCTTAGCCAACCAAATAATAGGAGGGCACTCAAGATGATACCAACATTCTTAAAAGTTCATGTTAAGTTTTCACATTATCCAGAACTCCTTCTACATCAGGCAGTATGTTACCAAAGCAGAGGGGCTGATGGGAAAGGCATTCTGGGGCACTTAATTGTCATGACTAGCTGTAGTAATTGCCACTGGAAGAGCATCTATGTTGCATGTGGAATAATAATCATAATAATCATAATAATAATAAATTTATTATTTATACCCTGCCCATCCGGCTGGGTTTCCCCAGCCACTCTGGGCAGCTCCCAACAGATTTAAAACAGAATAAAACATCAAACATTAAAAACTTCCCTAAACAGGGCTGCCTTCAGATGTCTTCTAAAAGTCAGATAGTTGATTATTTCCTTGACTGATGGGAGGGCGTTCCACAGAACGGGCGCCACCACTGAAAAGGCCCTCTGCCTGGTTCCCTGTGACCTCACTTCTTGCAGGGAGGGAACCGCCAGAAGGCCCTCGGAGCTGGACTTCAGTGTCCGGGCAGAAAGAAGGGAGTGGAGGCGCTCCTTCAGGTATAATGGGGTGAGGCCATTTAGGGGTTTAAAGGTCAGCACCAACACTTTGAATTGTCCTCTGAAACATACTGGGAGCCAATGTAGGTCTTTCAGCACCAGTGTTATGTGGTCTCAGCGGCCACTCCCAGTCACCAGTCTAGCTGCTGCATTCTGGATTAGTTGTAGTAACCTTCAAAGGTAGCCCCACATAGAGCACGTTGCAGTAGTCCAAGCGGGAGATAACTAGAGCATACACCACTCTGGCGAGGCAGGTAGGGTCTCAGCCTGCATACCAGATGGAACTGGTAAACAGCTGCCCTGGACACAGAATTGACCTCCATGGACAGCTGTGAGTCCAAAATGACTCCCAGGCTGCCCACCTGGTCCTTCAGGGGCACAGTTACCCCATTCAGAAGCAGGAAGTCCCCCACACCCCCTGTCCCCCCAAAACAGTACTTCTGTCTTGTCAGGATTCAATGTCAATCTGTTAGCCCCCATCCATCCTCCAACCGCCTCCAGGCACTTCAGGAATGTCCCTGGTTCAATCTCCAGCATTTCCAGATAGGCTTGTGAGTGTTCCCCGTCTGAAATTCTGTAGATGGACCAATGACTCAGTGTAAAACAGTTTCCTATACACCTTAAAAATAACCATACAAATAAACAATAAACCAGTGAGCATGAAATTATACTTGCTAATCATCTGATACAACACAGTATTTAATGGCTCTAATCTTCTTTGATTTTCTCCAATAAAAGATGGAAAGAAACCCTAAATCTTAAGCACATCAAAGCTTCCTTCAGGTTTCACAAGATATTTCTCATCAACACACCCTCGAAGCAGCTTCATGTCACAATCAGTCTGCTTATCCCCAGCAGAGGGATTCCATCTTTATTATAATTTTTCCTGACACTCATTCTCTTACTTGTTTTATCTAACACGCTTCTAGGCCAGGGAAGTTGAGGACAAATTGGTCCATGTTTTAACATGCTGTCTACCCTCACAGTTTACAGAGACTTATAAAGTGCTTCTTTGAAGTTCTAAAAGATATTAATAGTTATCCAACCTTGCCTAGAGGTTTGCATTGCCAATGTGTGTTTTCTCTTTGACAGCCTCAGGTTGTATCCCGTCTCCCTTGCTGGCTTCCAGTCATGAAAGAAGGAAGAGAGTTACTACAATTCAGGCATCTAAATATGTAACTTTCTTTAATCAGAAATTAGAACCACCACTGAACGCGGGGCTTGTGCTTGAGGGCAGCATGAGATGTAAATTCACAGGACAAATTAAATGGGTAAAATTAGTCAACTGTGCAAAGGCTACTGTGGGCTTTATGCATCATACAGTTCTGACACTTTTCCTTCGTAGGTTGAAGTCTTGAGCATACTTGCCAGGAAGCAAATGCACTCAGTGGATTGGGATCAGTTAGTTAGTAAAGCACCAGTGTGATCCAGTGGATATCCAAATGGACTTAATGCTTGCAGCAGAGCTGGCCTTATCCTTAGGCAGAATGAGAGGGGCAACTCAGGCCGTAGTTGCTGAGGGTGCTGAGTGGACAGAGCTGTGTGTGCCATGTAATCTACCCTGCATCCTCTAAGCTACTCTGCTGTGCAGTGAAACCAGTGTTGAAGTCAAGTTGCAAGGGCCATTCCAATTAGCTTCTGTATGTTGAATGGGCAGGAGTGCCACCTTGTTCTTTTCCTCAGGCAGCAAAATGTATTTGGCTGACACTGGCTGGGAGGACTGTGTCCCATAAAAATCTAAGACTTGCCTAACTGGATCAGACTAAAGTCCATTAGCACAGTGAGTCCATTTCCCACAATGGCTAGCCAGATGCTTTTGGGAAAACCACACACAGATAATGGTGGCAGCCCCCAGCTCTTATTATTCCTCCCCCTCCCAGCACCTGGCATTCAGAGGGATACCCATATATGCTGGACTTCAATTTGGCAGAAGGTTGGGATAAAAACGTCGCCAGCCATGGGTGGAAGAGAGAAGGCTTACTGTGTAGAATTCCTGGGCAGAGCTTTCAAAAAGGCTCAATTAATTTCAGAGCAAGGACCAGGGTCGTGCGATGAGAACCTACCAGTGGCCAAATTCTGCCTCACCAGGCACTCAAAATGACAGCAGACATTTTTAATATTGCACTGAGCATCATTAGTTCACAGTGCCTTTCTTAACTCAGATACAGTTGTGTGGCCTGTGCAGGGTCCTACAAATGACAAGTCCAGTCTGTTTCAAGAAGATATTCAGGAAAGTGTAAGGCAATGAAAGGCGTATCATCCAGCAGTGGCTGCAACTGAAGGAGGATGCATACAGACATGTAAGCAAAATCAGTGGTGACAGACAACAAGGCTCACAGCTGCTCTTTGCAGTTCTTCTCTTCTCTCATAAGGAAACAGCCAAATCAACCGGACAGCAACTGCCATTGCCCTTCGTCTGGCGCTTTGCAGTGGCATATAGATGCTTTTCCAGAGAATTTTAACCCTCTTCACAAAGGCTGTTCTTTATCCCCCTTTTCAAAGGATTACCCACTGCTGATGGTGCTTTACAAACTAGAACCACAGGCCAGGATCCAAAGTGCCCCCTAGGTGTGTGCAAGTGAGCCTGCACATATTCTAAGGTTTGCTGTACTGAAAGAACACCTCAAACACCCAAAAGGGTTGGAATTGCCCAGCACAGAAGGCTGTGCTCAGAAAAACAGGGACCTCAGATCTAGCCATATACTGTGGACAGGCTCCTCCTTGTTAGCCCTTTGAATCCAAGCTATAGAATAGGAAAATCACCTAGTGTAGCCTCTTCTCCCAGGACTTCGTTCCACTTTTAACATGCATCACGTTCTCTCTTGTTTATACACGTGATGCAAAACCATCATTAGAATCAGTGGTTGTTGGTTTTTCCAGGGGGTACTCAGGTACCAGCACCTCTTTTTGTTTAAAAGTGTGGTACTTACTGTAATAACCTCATGGCAGGTACCGGCACCTATTTTTCGGGGGGGGGGGGAAGCACTAACTAGAACACATTAGAAAAGTAGGTCTGTAGCTATGATATACACATGTGTTGCTCAGGTGAGAAGCTGAGGCTATAAATTACCGTATTATGCGCTGTTAGGAAATGGGTGGTTAGCCAGTTCCATTGGCTGGTGTGCTGTTGTGAACAAATGGCAAACCAATGTGCAGCTCCTTCACCAAAGCATGGCATTCCACATAACTCTCTGAGAATAAAAACCTGGAGGTAAACAGGAGGCTTATGGTTTATGGATTGAGACCTAAAGAACCAAGACAGTCAAGAGTCGGGTGGAAGCTAAGTAGAGCCCTGATGGATCGGGTCAATGACACATCTGGTCCAGCATCCTGTTCTCACAGCGGCCAACCAAAAGCCTGTGAGAAACTCGCAAGCAGGACCCAGCACAAGAGCACTCTCCCCACCCTGTAGTTTCCAGCAACTGGCATTCAGAAACATTATTGCCTCTGAAAGTCAGCAAGAAAACAATAAATACAGAGCTGGAAGCCTACATTCTAATACAGCTGCCCTGTCATAAGGATGACAATAGCCCTGTGGGCTGATAGGAGTATGCTGCCGATTACCAAGGCATTATTGTGTCCTAGAAAGGAGGCGTCCTGACAGGTCTGCTAGCCCCCTCCAGTTGCTCAGCACCCAGTGGCTGAGCCTACAAAGCTGACATGGCAGCTACGACAGGGGGCTGTCAATGGCGCTTAGTGTTATGGCGCCGCTGGGCAAGGTTGCTTTTAACTTTGAGAATTAGCCTTCAATTTGGCTGCATTAATAGGCAATGAAAACCAAGGATGAAGAGGGGAAGTTTCTGCAGCTGCTGCCCTCTCCGCTTGCTCTCTAGGACAAATGCTACAGTTACAGTAGGAGACTACAAGGACTATGGGGAAGTAGGACTATGAGGAGAGACTGGCCATATGTCTTTGGAAGATGGGCTGATAAGGGAGGCCAGATCTCCCTTATTTGAATGAACAAACAGCCCCAAGGGATGAAGGATGACCCTTTAGAGTACTGTACTACCACCAACATAGACCTCTGTAGGTCTGGAGAATCCCTAATTTGTGAACAGGCAGGCATATGCTCTGTTATCAGTCTCGCTGCAAACTGCTGCCTGGTGATGGGAAGTGCCGCTTGGAGGCTGGCTAAGCATATTTTATTGATCAATATTACATTATATGTTGTTATCTTTGTTTCGTTGACTTTTTTTCACTCCTAGAATGAGGTATCTTCAGCCAAAGCTATCTGCTTGTTTACTTTGGGAGTCCCTAATTTACAGCCAGGCAGGTTCATAGTCTGTTACCAGTGTACTGTCTAAGTATAGGAAGTGCTGCTTACAGGCAGGTCTGTAGAGTAGTGTCTTAAGTGCACAGCAAACAGAAAATGGACTTATTCCAACTCAGAATGGTAATGTCGATGAGTGCGGCTGCTTGATAAATAGTGGAGCCTCAGGGCTATCATTGTGAAATGGAAATTGCTGGCATTGTCCACCATTTTGTTGGAAAGGGAAGTGGTCATGCAAGCGTTTTCATTATTTCTGTTCAGAGAACAAATCACAATGTCATTGCTTTATGAAGACAGAATGGGGCTGATACCTTAAGGCTTACAGAAAAGTCACAAGGTTGCTTCATCATGTGGGTAGGTCAACTTAGGCTGAATTTATCTCATCAAAATGCAACTAACTGATAATGTCAAATTGTTTCTAGATCAGACTGCTACTATCACTTTTATTCCTCCACAGCAAGCTTGAATTTTGCTAACACTACCTACAGGTCAGTGGCAGGGTGAAATTATTTAATGTACCTTAAGAGACCGCACCAGATAACAGTGTCCCAGCCTTTATGCACTCTAAAGGTTGATCAACTCTAATGTGGAGCCATATGTTGCTGCTTAAGGAGTTTCTGCTTGAACTAAAACAGCAGGGAAGCTAAGACGAACTATTCCCTCTAAAGAAAACCTAGGGGGAACCATAGGCTAAAATAGGACTCACAAGCAACTTAATATTTGAAATAGAACTATATATTTGTTCAGTTCTCGCTTTTAGTGGACAAAACTAATTCCAGCTTCAACCATGGAGTGAAGTCCAATTCTGAAGATGATTATGAAGTCATTCTCTTTTATTGTTTATTGACAAATTATCCTTGCATATTCTCAGTCTTCGTAGCTCGAGCTATTTCTTCATTTTAAAACAGATTTTTATTTTTAGCCTCCCTGTTTGGCATAACAATACTAAAACAATCAACATACTGTAACACACAAATAAACACCATTAAGATGCTTAAACAACTTGTATGAATTATCCAATAACTGCATAGCTCAAGCTATTAAAAGCCAGTCCAAATACTGATCGTCTGGAAAATGTTTCTAAAAATTAGGTGGGTAGAGGCTTTTCCAACATGTTTGCATAGCTGCTACTCATAAGTCTTTTCCCCTGGTCAGGAAAAAAAGGGGGAGGGGGCATCAAACCACATACAAAAACTACAACACTTTCAGTCTGGCACCATTTTGGGGTGGGATTCAGTCACAAACAGAAAACTCATGTTGCACAATGATAGCTGATTGGGAGGTGCTGTGCTACAAATCTGCTTCCCCAAAAGTAACAAGAAAAAATGCACTGGGAAGTGTGGGATAACACTTGTTTTGATGCAATGTCATCTAACATCCCTCCAAACAGCTTGGAATGAATGCTCGATAAATAGCTGATGTTGTCCATTCTCACTGCAAACAAATCTGTTTATTGAGCCTTCATCCTGGAAACACACACACACATCAAACAGCAATAAAGCAAAATAAACCACCTCCAACCATAGAATCATAGAACTGTAGAGTTGGGAGGGACCACAAGGATCATTTGGTCCAAATCCCTGCAATGCAACTCACCCACCAACTGCTTTTTTTGCTGCCTCATGTTTCCTTGGTGCCATGCTAGGCTGGTGTTCTTGCTTGAGTCATCAGGATTACATTGACTGAATTACTTCCTTAGCCCGAATAACAGAGTAATTTCCAAACCACCCATGCAAATTATATATGTAGCTTTCTCTGTATTAGGAACACCACATAATTTTCTTGAAACAAAGCAAAGCACCTCATGCAGCCTTCCATTTACTTCAGCATGTGAGCACATACAAAGATGGAACCAAGAGCCACATTCAGTGGGACTAAACCAAAACAGTGCAGTATTAGTTAGTTAATTCAGCATTCTGGTTGATTTTCATCAACCGTACCTAGAAATGCTAATGTTTATGTGTATATAAATGCCTTAAATAAATAAATAATGAGGAACCCAACTGTTCCATTACTGGCACTCTAAGGCTATATTCAGTATATAATACAGCTCCTATTTTGCCATAACGACTTGGGGTGGAGGTAGACAAGAAATGTCCTATGCAAGGGTTTTGATAAATGGACTAATATTAAGCAAATGCACACAACCCCAGTCATAAATGTGAGCCAACTGTTTGGTCTGAAGAATTTTAGCAACATATTAGGAGAAAAGGAAAAATGAGCATGATGGCTAATCTACTAGGAAACTATGCTCAGATATTAGAGATGGCCGAATAAGTTGATGTTCATTGACTGTCACCAGTTCCTGTAATAAGCTGAAACCTTTTCCTTTATCTCTTAACCACATGACATGTATAGCCTTTTATCGTAACATCATGGGCTATGAATCCGCTTTTCCTGAAGTTTCAACTATCCTTCTATCTGTACAAAGATTATACCAAATACTCCCATAAATGTGTTTTGCTCAACTAATCTAGGCCAGATACAACCTGATCCAAAAAACAACAACAGTAAACAAAACTACAGCCGTACAAATGGGAAGGGGGTTGCAGAAACTGAGAACACAACATCACATATGCCAAGGATCCCAAAGGAAAACAGGTCCACCTTAACCAAACCTCGCTCACCTGTTCCCCGTTTTTCAGACTCTGTTGTCTGCTGCTTCTCTGTCCCTCTTATGCTGCCTCCATCTCTGTGTCTCCTTAAACTTCTGATTCTCAAAGAAGTTTGAATGACTCCTTGTTCGTTTGGGGATTGCATAGAAATCACTGGCAGCTGAATGACTGGTATCACGACGTGACAACCATTTGGGGGTCCTGCTTCTGAGTCCTGCACCATTTTGAAATGACCAGGAGTGGGAGAAAAATGCAGTGTGTGTGTGTGTGTGTTGTATTCAATCTCTCCCCACTTCTCTCACTTTCTAACCCTGTTTTTAACTCAGGAGAGTGTTTCTACTATCAGGGTTCTCCAGGCATCAGCATGATCTGTGAGCTGCTCTGCTTCTACCTCAACCACTACCGTGCACACAATTTCATAGGCACCCCATGCGCAACTTCAAAAGGAACAGCCAAGCGACACAAATCCAACTGAAAACAAAATGGCCCCCTTCTTCTCCCCCTCTTCTCTTACCACTCTTCGTCTGTCGAGGTGCAACGAGCACCTCCAGGGAGGAAGGGAGCTCCCTCCACTAAGGGACTTCGCCAAACCAGGCAGAGCCAGCGGGGAAGGAAGCAGTCTTCTCCAAGAGGCCTCCAAGCAGGAGGCAGGAAGTGAGTTCCCTTCTGGCCCACAGCAAACATGGCCGCTTCCTGTCTACCCGGTGTCCCTTTGAAACTGCTCCGTCCTCCCCGCCTTTCTCTGCCTGCTTGCCCAGTCTGGGCTGCCTGCTGGTTCTCATGAGAAAGAGCGTTTCAGGAGCTGCGAACGCCGTTTGCTTTATTACTGAGCAAAACCCGAGTTGTACAAACAGCTACCAGAGAAGGTGAGAGAAGCAAACACAACCTCTAAAAATGCACAGCATACACTATACAGTAGAGTTGCCAGATTTAAGCCTTATATGGGTGTTTTTTGTTTTGGAGCTGTTGGCACTCCTGCTTCCCCTGTTTATCATGGAAGAATCCCAACTTTTCAGTACTTGCCCTGGTAAAACGGTGCTCCCCGTTTTTGCTTTCGGGAGGGAGATGTCGGGGAGATGTTTTCTAAATGTTATTATTATAGGCACCCGTGTTGAAGTTTCAGGCCCAGCTCTCTGTTGCTTCTTAAGAGCACCTGCGCTTTTGCATTGCAGCTGTTCTATTTAAAGAAATAAAATGCAATCAGGTCCATCCACATGTTGAAGATAGTTGATATAATTTTTAAAGGGTAATGTAATAGACAGCAGGTGGAGAAGACCAATGTGTATGTGTGATGTGGTTGCCCATCTGTTTTTAAGAGAGTTGATTGTTGTGGAATGTGGAACAGATCTTCAGAACAAGTGGGATTTGGCAGCACTGCCTTCAGCTGTGGAACTTCTTGCAGGTCTAAGAGGGGCATCTTATGTTCTTTCCCAAAGAAGCAGGAATGTTAGAAGCAGCATAAACACAATGTGAGATCTAGGCAGCTCTCTCACCAAGACAATTTGATGACTTCCTGGGTTGGTTTCTGTAGGCTTAGCCTGTGGACATTTTTTGCACAGTGACTGTGTAAATTATAATTCTGACAGCACCTTTTCATGCTTTGTTTGAAATGGTTATCACTTCCAGTAATGAGAGTCGAGATATGCTAAATATATGATTTTTCCTCTCTCTCTCCACCCACTTGGTGCCAGTTCACACATGACATATTATCTACAAGAGTGTGGCATGTGTGTAATACACTGATGTGGGAAGGTAATGCAAGTTATTTGTTGGAAAAGTGCTACCACTAGTAACCACATGTATACCCCTGGCAAAACAAACACTTGTGTGATCATCACATGTACTGGTACACGTGGATCCTCCACTCTTTATATCATTGTACATATTTGTAAGGGAAAGATTAAAGCAGCCCTCAGGTAGTGGTGGAAATGGAACTGAAAAGCAGGTCGTATGCACTGAAAGCTTGGAGGGTGCTGCAACACAGACAGTCCCTGTTATCTCCATATAGGACTGTTATCTCCATATAGGACTGTCTGAGCATGCTTCCAGTTCCACATAAGGGATTAATAATACAAATTGGATATTTGGACATCACTAACGAATTGTTGGCAGCAGCTTTTTTTTTTTTTAAATGGGTTTTATACAGAAAGGATAAATCCGAAATAAATTGGGTGGAGGTTGGGGTGGAATAGGAGCTGACATTTTGATGCTGATCACATCATGTGGATTCTGTTGAAAACTTGTGTACATGAGCAGCACCGATCTCACAATAAACAGCTGCCTGGCAGCACACTAAAACCCTGGAGAGCCACTGCCAGACCAAACTAAACTAGATGGACCAAATTTTTGACTTGGTGCAAGGCAGCTTCCTGTGTTGTTAAAAGCTGAAGTGGAAATTTACTGGTTTAACAGTGGCTGCCTTTGGATCCTTTATTCAGCTTCCTAGAGTCCCTCCAGGAAGGACAGTCAATGAAAATGAAGGATGCTTTTGGTTATTCATGGTGCATTTACTGACTCCAGGAAATTTGTTTGGGTCAGGGCCTGTCTACCCCATGAAAACCAGAGCCCTTCACTGTTGTTAGCCTGTAGTGGTGCTGTTTTGAGATGTGTGTGATGCTAAATTAATGAGGAACATGAAGGAATTCCATGGGGTCAGATGTGGGAAGGCTGGGAGGGGGCAGTCAAGTTGCTCACCATAATTTAGGAAGATAGGACAGAAGACCTCCAAATACCTCATGGTTATACTGTACAATTATGTGATTCTGGCGACAAATTAAGCGCACCTTGCATACAAAAAACAGAGCCTGCTCTAACATTCGAGCTATGAATTTGTTACAAATGCTAGACAGGATTTGGTTTGGTTTTTAAAAAACTTAAAAGTCTGTACTTCGAAATGAAAGTTTACCTTTATCAACACCCCCTCTCTGCAGATTTGATTCTTACCTTAGTTCTTCCCACCTCATTGTAAGTCTTGGGGGCCCAAATAACTCTGGTGGCTTGGTTTGAAAAACCAATACATTTTGTTAATTTAAACTCCCCCTCCCTGCCCTACAGTACAATCTGCCAACGGAGGGAAGTAAAAACAGCCGGGGACCTTCTGGGAGTTACAGAGAGCAAGACGCTTTTGCCTTGTAATGTGAGCCAGTCTTCAAGAAGGGCAGGTGGTTATGCTTTGCATTATGCAAAGCAGCTGAGAGGCAGCCAAGCTCTCTCTAGTAACCAGCCGCGGAGTGAGCTGTGTTCGATGTGTGCTAGTGCAGTTTCTCTCTCTCCAGGTGCTGGGGATGGATTTCAAGGACAGCGCTCAGCTGATTGGCCCAGAGCATCCTTCGGTCTCCTGCACTCCTCCCTCCACACATATTCCCCACAGCAGAGATTGGAGGAGACAGTCGAGACTGTGTGTGTGTGCAGTGTGGCAGGAGGGAGTGTAAATAAATGGAAAGATGAGCTGGGATGCTGTGCACACAGCAGCAATTCAGCCGGGAGAAGTTGATGAGCAAAGAGTGTGGAGGCGAACTTGCAGAGCTACTGGGGAAGGAGACGCTGCTCTCTGAAGCCGGGTCACATAAAGACCAGGCACACATTGCTTCATCACACATTGAGGACTTAAAAGCAACTTGTCTCCCCCTCCGCCCAAGCAAACACATCCACACAGACAGGCACAGAACCATGTCTTTGGCAGTGAAGGAGAAGAGCCAAGTGCGCCTAGTGTTTCTGGGTGCAGCCGGGGTTGGCAAGACGGCCCTGATCCGGCGCTTCTTGCAGGACACTTTTGAGCCAAAGCATCGGCGAACAGTAGAGGAGATGCACACCAAGGAGTTTGAGGTGAGTGGAGCCACCATCAAGGTTGAGATTCTGGACACCAGTGGTAGCTACTCCTTCCCAGCGATGCGCAAACTCTCCATCCAGAACAGCGATGCCTTCGCTTTGATCTATGCTGTGGATGATGCAGAGTCCTTTGAGTGTGTGAAGACTTTGCACGAGGAGATCCTTGAGCTGAAAGAGGACAAGTTCCCTCCCATCGTAGTGGTGGGCAATAAGGCAGAAGCCGGTGGGCTTAGACAGGTATTGCCCGAGGACGCCCTCTCCTTGGTGGAGCTTGACTGGAACAGCCGTTTCCTGGAGGCATCTGCTAAGGAGAACGAGAACGTGGTGGAGGTCTTCCGGGAGCTGCTTCATCAAGCCAACCTGCCCAGCCGGCTGAGCCCTGCCCTCCGCAGGAGACGTGAGACCTTCCCTAAGGAGCCCCCACTGCGGCCCCCCATGAACAAAGCCAATAGTTGTACTGTCTGTTGAACTATGTGAGAATGATAGCTGCATGGGTTTTTGAGAACTTTGGTGACCTGTGTTTAGAGATCAGGTTGCACCTGTCACAACAGCACTGTGGCACTCTGTCATTTTGGGGCTCAGGAGCTGTTTGTGAACCTTGATGGCTTGTCGTCGTGACATAGTAATTTCAGCTTTAGTGCCCCCAAGTCACCAATGTTTGTGCCCATTTCGTGCATTTGATTTTGAGTTGCAACCCAAGAATTGGGAAGCCTGCGATGCTGTGCACAGTGTAATGTCTCTAATTCTGGCCTGTTCTGCGGATCCAAGCTGTTATTGTATAAATTGGAAGATATGTCCCTTAAGTCATGGAAGTGGATGCCCCAGGAGTGAAAGATGAATGGCCGAACAGACCAGTTTTTGAGGCAACATGGCTGATGTTGACAAGGTCCATAGCATGAACTTAGAAGGGAAGAATTTGAGGGCTCCTCTAGGAAACATTTAATTCCTGGGACACCTACTTATCTTTCCCTGTTGCATTGATTTCTTTGTGTTTTGAGTGACTGAACAGACACGGTGTGCTTGAAGATGGGAAAGAAAAGACATTGTTGGTGCCTATTGAACATCCGGTGTGTGTGTGTGTGTGCCTCCCCCAAAACAGTGGGTTTTGTTTTTTGTTTTGCTTCAAATGTGTGCATTGACCATTTGCATGCATGTGCTTTTGTGCAGACTTTGTTTAAACTGAGCTCACCATTGTCTGAAGCACCTCTGCATTGTGGAAAGAAATACATGTCACCCAGTGGGTCAGTCTGTGCCTGAGTAGGTATGATTTTAATTTCCAACTTTTCAAGGGTTGTAACTAATAAAAGAAAACTCAAACACCACCCCAAAGAGTGTTGATGTTTATTTTATTTTGCTGGGAGGCTTGTGATTGGAAAACAAGCCACACTTCAAGTTCTTGTCACCCGGTCGTTACATAGCCTCTCTTGCTCCCATGTTCTGCTTTATGCCTTTGCCTTCATATCTTTGTAGGACAGCCACCCTGCTGAGTTTCTGTAGGTTTTTATGCTCTCGTGGTTTTTATGACAGACACTGTAGTCTGGGGGCAATATTGTCAGATTTGTTCCTAGGAGACCATGGCTCAAACTCCTCCTGAGGCATAAACTCATAAGCTTAGCCAGGTCAGTCCCTCTCAGCTGGGCTTTCACAAAATGGGAATATTCATGATCTCTCTTACAGAGCTGTTTTGAGAGAAACATTGCACATTATCACTCCAGTCCTAGATTCATTTACTGGGAACTTTGTACCATTGATTTCAGTACTTGTGACTGATGTGCATAGGGCTGCAACTTGAAGGTGGTGCATAAATTAATAGCATCCACCCAGCCACTCAAGTGCTTCCAAGGTGGGAAGCAAATAAATGTCATTTGTTGTGTTACAACAGAAAGGGATGATGCGCTGTGGAATGACAGTTCATGTAGTGAAATAAAACTACAGATATGTTGAAAATTAATGCAAGTAAAGGTGGAGGGAAGGAGACGGCTGGGGATTTTGTCATATACTACATGCAATTTAGCCCAAAGGCTGAGAAGAAGCTGCCATTAATTTGCCCGACTGCAACGCTACACATGTAGCTCTCCTAAGTTAAGATGCAATATGGGGTTATCTGTTGGCATCTGATAACGTTTTGAAGCCAAACTTTTCTGTAGCTAGCTAAAAACACTGAGCTTAGGAGTAATAAGGATATCAGGAACTCTGAAATACAATGTTCTTCCTCATTTAAAGTTTCCCCTTGAGCATTCAGGCACAAGGCATGCAATGGCAAGGGTGGGATTATTCTTTCTGAGCTGCAGTGAGGAAACTGTGGCCCTCTAGATGTTGTTGGATGCCAATTCCCCTTAGCCCCAGACAGCAAAGTCAGTGTTCTGCGAAGAAGGGTGTTGTGGTACATCTGGAGGGCCACTGGTTCCCCATCCCTATGTTAGAGCTCTGTGCTATCATTATTTCTTGAAGGCATCTGAGAGTAACCACAATCAAAGGGTCCTGGTGGAAGGAAGACTCTTGCTCTGATCTGGTAACACTGCTTCCCTTGCATTTTCTGTGCTGTTGGTGAGCATTTGAATCTGCATAAATGTGACCCAGACAGTTCTATCAACACAATTTCCTGAAACTTTATTAGCCAAACATTCTAGCAGCTGCTGCTGCTGTTTTCAAAAAACGACCTGCCTACCCTCCATCTAAATAGCTCTAGGTAAATGGTATTTTTTTATTAAAAAACAAACCCCAAAGTTCTTGAGTATCTATGTATTTTGGTAATCCCCAAACACATTTATTTACTTTCCATTTTTACAGACTGTTTTTCACCATAGATGGTCACAAAGTGGTTTACACAACCATCAACAACGTGATCCATACTACAATGTTTAAATCGAAAGGGTCAAATGAAAATGTACGTTCAACAAATAGGCATAGTACAACTTACTGAAAACGCCTGCTGAAATAAAAAAGTCTTTGCCAAGCACCTGACATTCAACATGGTGGGGGGTGTCTGATCTGTCTGGAATGCGTTTTGCAGCATAGTCAAATGTGTCCATATTGTACCACATGTGACAGTGAGGAGATTTGTCTGAACCCAACACAGTGACAGGTGAGAGAAAAATCTCCCAGGTTTGAGGATTGTTTTGCTTTGTTTTCCCCAACCCGTGCTGAAGGGGGTTTGGTGTGGCTCCTTACTATAGAGGAAGAAGGCACATAGCACCTGCTTCCCACAACTGCATCTTTATGTCAGTGGTGCATTAAATCCATTTTCTTCAGGATTTTACTCCATAGAGTACCTGAGAAATGTAGAAATACACCAATTAAACAAACAACCTGATTTCCCTCTTTTAATATATTAAGTACTGATTTCAGCCATGACTGTGAACAATTCTTGGTTGCCTCTCCTTCCTAAATTAACAAGAGAAAAGGCGTGTCAGTCTCTCTCTCATACACACAAACATGCTTTATTAGGTCAGAAAGTGGAGATGACATGAAACTCAAGTCAACTACACCCTCTGCTGGCTTTATCTGAAATTGTTAGTTTCCCCAATATCATTAGAAGACCAATTCAGATTTTTGGGATCGTTTTATAATAGATAGTAGCATCTCTTGTGCTAGCACAAATCTCTGACAGTTGTTGACGACCATCTGCCTCGAGAGACAATGGAGTGTGCCTCCGAGGGTGAACACAAACCACTGCATAAGCAGCACCGAAGTGACTTCCCCACAGTGCAAGCCTGGGCAGTGTATATGGGTTGCCCAGATGACAAGATCCTCCTCTTAGCCTCGTTTATGTGGTCCATAGGAAAGCAGAGCAGTATGTTTGGCACCAGCCTGGCTCCAGGAGTTGCTTGAAGGAGGCATATAAGGCGCCAGCCAACCATCTTAGGGACTCCACCCCAGATTTGTGCAGGGTTTGCTCCTTTCTTCCCTCGAAGATATCTTGCAAGGGAGCAGAGGCTTTGGATCAGTTTTTCTTCTTCTAGATAACATGGGCTACTTTCCCATGTTGTTAAGCCGCATCTGCCCCTCACTTCCCTCTATAGCATGTGTAGAAACCATCTTCTTGACCACTGGACCCACTACTGATCCTGCCCACTCAATCTGCCGGAGCCCGTCTTTGCATGCAGGGGAAGTTCCTAACTCAACGAGGCTTTGAGATCCATTGACCCTCACCTGGTTTAGCCGGCCAGTTGAAGTCATTTCTGGTGTGTGGCTGCTGTCGAATGCTGACAGCTACTAGGATCCGCAGGTGAGAGCTGCATGCCAGGTGCAGCAGCATCGTCACAAAGAATAGGATGGGTTCTGGAAACAAACATCTCGGATGTCAAAGACCAAGCTGTGTAGTGAAGAAGCCAGCCGCACCTCTGTGGGGAGGGAATTGCAGAACATAGGAGCTGCTGCAAAGAATGCCCTCTCTCGGACCACCACCACTCCTAACACCTGGATGCATCTGTAGGGAAGGAGGTGGTCTTTTGGATATTTGGGGCGTAAGCCATTTATGGCTTTAAACACTACCACAAACTCTTTCAATTGAGCCCAGATATGAACTGATAGCAAATGCAGCTGTTATATGAATTATAAAAGGAACCCCCCCCCCCCCCTGTAATTTGGCCACTGTGTTTTGGACCAGTTCCTAGTCGTCATCATCAGGGGTCAGTTTAGAACCAGCTGAAGCTTCCTAGTCACCATAAAGCACAATGCAATAGTTCACTTTGGAAGTTGCCTAAGCATGGAGTACCATAGCCAAGTCATCTCTGTCCAAAAGGAGCCAAAGCTGTTGAACCAGCCATAGCTGGAAACAGGCACTCCCCTCCAGACTTGCATTTTCTCACCCCTGCTTTAATCAGTAGGCTTTGATGCATCAGAGGTTCCCCTCCTTCCCGCAGCCAGCTACTTTCTCTGCCTCTGGGTCCAGAGAGAAAGGCCATTCGTGCGAACAGGCCTTCTGCTCACTTGGCCTGCTCCTCTGGGCTGGAGGGATTGAGCTGGTGGGAATGGCAAGAAGAGCAGCAGCAGCAGAGACAGGCAGCTCTGGTGCTCAGTAGGGGACCCTCTGTGGAGTAGGCTTTGGCAAGTCCCCAACCATGGCAAACCCTGCCATGCTTCAGTAAGCACATGCAGGGCTTTTTTCAGCTGGAACTCACCAGAACTCAGTTCTAGCAGCTCTCAGGCAGGCACCATTGCCATTATAAGAGAACAAGGGAGGTGTTCGTGGCAAGTCTGGCACTTCTTTTTCTAAAAAAATAGCACCAAGCACATCTATATGGATGTACATTTACATAATAAATCAGTTAAAAGACCACAAAAATGTGTAAATTAAAGGATAGAACTACGTAGCTAAAAAAAACCACGATTAAGTCTTCAGCCACGGTGTGCAGATATGATTACCTTTATACCTGCAATCTCTTTAAGTATGCGGAGTGCTTTACAAGTTCAGCTCATTTGTTTGTTCCACCATCTCTGAGATAGTCTTTAATATTTCTCTTTCTACAAGAGGGGAACTAAGGCAGAATTAATGCAGCTTGTCTCTTCCTACCCTGTTCTCATTCTGAGCACTTTTATATATCCAAATTTTATATATTGTAGTATATAATCTTGAGATTGGAAAGAAATTGCTTGTAGCATTCAGTCTGATAATAAAACACAAAAATAACATGATCTGAGAACACCACACTCTGTCTGTTGTAGTGAAGCCTATGGCACTGACTGGCTGAGCTGGTGTGATGATACAGAATGTTCAAGAGTATTCCAATTCATCAGTAAACTTAGCTGTTAGACCGTTTGAATGTAGATTATCTGGAAGGAATTCAGGTGCTATGCTAAGGCAACCGGCAATCGTTTCATCAGCATATTTCAGCTTGTTCAAAAGGAACAATCCCCCCCTCTCCTCCCCTCTCCCACTGTCAAAAGGATTTACCCCCCACCCTACCCAAACCAATTTTGTTCAGGGCTTCTGCTGATGAGACTCATTAGATGACTCCCACCCTCTGAAAGAAAGCTGGTTTTGGCTGGAATTAAAACTTTGCATGGGACCTAGCTTTTGGAAGAAGTTTGAAAAATGAGAAATGGGTACAAGTCATAGAGATGCTAAGGACTAGGTAGCAGAAAAGGCTATGGACAGAGAAAAAGGAAGCTGGGGGAAGTGTAGGTTTAGGAGGTTTGTGGAAAAGAACCATATTCTTTATTAATGTGGACTAAGCAGCCGGGTTCTTTTCGGTGCGTGCTTCTGTTATGTTTTTAATATTATATTTTTAAATTGCTGCAACCCGTACTAAGACCTTATGGTGAAGTGTGGGTGAGAATAAAATAGACATACAGGCCTCATTTATGGGATAACTTAGGG